AAAATTGGTCTCCGTAACATCCACCATCGGAATCTTACAACTGATTATTGATGCAAAAGTAAATCAATTCTACTTTGAATATTCACCGTTGGAACTATTTTCCTATCTCTCCTTAATTGTAATTAATTAGGAAACAAGCGATCTTAATTAATCTTACCATTAAACAACCTAGACAAGCGCTAGATTTAATCTAATGGCAGACTTAAGAATTAGAGAGTCGATGAAGCTAAACAATACAAACTCAAGCGGTTGTATTTAATTTAGTCGAGTGTTCCTCTTAAGATTACTAATTCCCGACGCAGCAAATTAATAACCCAATTGCTTCACAAGTTAGAGGGATCAAACAATTAGGATTTGATATCTAACTTAGCAGTAGATTGCAACAAATAATAACTAGTAGGCCTCCTAGAAATAAATGAAACAATCATTAAAATAAGCATAGAAGAACATCCAATACTCAAAGCATAAAATTGAACACTGAAATAAACGGGTTAGATCTCACAGATTGATTCCAAGGCCTCCGTTTCCTTCGACCAAGTTATAAAGTTTAGCCGCTCATGGCCATCACGAATATTCAAGGAAAAAGAAAATCCACCCAAGAGAGAGAAAGAGAGGCGTGGTCCCCCTCAAAAACCCTAATCTGATCCTCTTAACAAAAATCCGTTCAAGTATTTGATCCACAATCTCCTAAAAAAATATTCTAATATCCTAAAATAACATTAATCCTAATCTGATTCTAATTAATTGAAAATAAGTAAAGTCCTAAAATAAATAGGAAAGTGGTGATTCAGAGCTGTAACTTGCGTGCCACATGTCTTCAAACCTTCCAATAATAAACTGCCCAATTGATTTGCATGACAAGGCAGAATGCTCCAGGACGTCGGCAGTGCAGGTGCGTCAACTTCAAGCCCGATTCAACCTGATGAACGAGTATCTCTCCAAACTCGAAACATGAAAGTTGTAGATAATTTCTTATGGTTCCACAGCATTTTGAATCATCTAAATCGGAGCTCGGATGAGAGAGTTATACCCAGATTACGAAGCAGTGTCGAAACTGTCCGAATTCACCTAATTAGTTCCATTTTGCAATTAACACCTCCATTTGCTTCCTAATCAAATAAAGTAATAACAGTACAATTAGGCAACAAATATGTATAAAGACTAAACATTAAGGGGGTAAATATGACATTTTGCATTCCCATCAGAGTTACGATAGCAGCTTAGGGAGTTCATGAGACATACCAAGCTCAGCTTCGAAGGCAAGATGCGGAAGACGAAGCTCTAGAGGTGATTTGTTAGCACACAAACACAAGGGATTTAATCATGGGGATTAGGTTCTAGGATCTAGTCATGGGGATTATGACCTAGGAGAGATTAAAGAGTATCTTATCATATGACAGAGAGTGTAAGGGAAATCATGTATAACCATGTCAATACTCTTAGGGTTAGATTTCTTTAATCTCATCTCTATTGTATGTATTGTGAGGATGTGTGTATTATGTTCTTGAGTGGTTGTACAATCTCCTTAATAGTGCAGAGCTGAGCATTTGTGGAAAGTTCACGTGGACGAATGGTTAGTTAACACCCGAACCACGGTTAAATCTTTCTTGTTCTTTATTGTGCTGATTTATTGCTTTATGTATGTGTTGAATCAGGTTAATCAAGCAAGTATGTTAGTAGACATACGCTTCCTCATAACAGGGATATCAGAGTTATCACTTCCCACTCAACAAAATGATATATGAAAATAACAACATAAACTCATTTAAAGCTTTTGGTAAAACCTTATAAGTAAGGCATGCATGTAGAAATGAAGAAAAAATCATATAATCTGCATCTTTTACCGACTATATGAAGAAACCAAAGAAAACAATCATTCACAATACACTCAAACCAAATATTTTTATTTTTCTAACATTTTCTCAACAATCAAATATACAGTAGAAAAGTAGAAGTGAAAACTTTGGATGCATTCAAAAACAAATATATTTCTTATGTATATACATTTTGAATCAAGTTTTACAAACTAATCCTTGAATCAAGTTTCACAACAATCATCACCATTATTAGTTTTTTTTTTTTTTAAAAAAAAAAACCAATATCAGTTGAACATGATCCTTTGCCAGCAGAACATAGTAGTACTCAGCAAACAAGATACAGGCACCAAGTCAATAAACCTATAGCTCGCAATACATACATCAGTAGTATGTATGCAGTATAGCCGCAAAATAGGTTAGACGATTTGAATATAATAATGGAGTTGTCTTTCTGGCGCCATGGGTTATTATCATCATCATCTCCTCTTCTTCTTAGCCTACCAGTGTTATGGTCCTATAACTTGCATGGTGGCTAGTCCATTTGTTCATGTAACCACCGTTTCTCTAAAAATAATTTAAAAATAGGTTAGCTATCATATACATAGTCATACTCTATAACATGTTACTGTGCTTAGAGACCAAATATCTAATGATTCAAATGAAATAGGGTGCTGAACATGAATAAGCAAATGACACATATCAACAAGGCCTTCTTCAACATAGTTACCAACATATGTATATAAAAAGTAAAATCATAATCTATCAAGAACCTTCTTGTCTCTAAATTGTTCAACAAACTTCAACAAAGACCATTAGTTACGCCATCCATAATCTAGTGTGTAAATAGATCAAGTTAGTTGATATATGTTAGAACGCAAGCCTAATACTGATCTTACACAACACAAATCAATCACACAAAATCAAGAATAAACAGACACACAAAAAGCCACAATTTACCGTGGTTCACTTATCCTTTTATGGATAAGCTACATCCACGTTGAGCTCAAGAACGGTATGAGCTTGCTGCACTTTCTATTATCAAGAACAATCAAGATTACACAGATTCAACACTCACCAGATCTACCCAAATACAAACTGCAATCAGCCTTACAAGATACCCTCTGAATATCCCTAACCCGAGAGAACAACACTCTCACCTGAATGATTAATCTCCCTAACCACTCGAACTGATTACACCACAATCTGGAATAATAATCTCAACCCTAACACAAAAAAATGCAAACCCAGAAAACCCTAAAATGTGTGTCTCTCTCTATTCTGAACGAAAGTGAGTTTATATATGGTTTGACTGAGTGATTGATCCTGGCCGTTAGTTCTGGAGTGCATCCTGCGCTCTAAATTTGTCCCGGTTATTATGCCTAAAACGACATCGTATTCCTTTACTCAAAACGACGCTGTTTCAGGCTTCCACATTAACAATCTCCACCTTGGAAGCACTGGAAACAGTCTTTTTGTGCAGCTTGCCTGGTACCATTATGTCATAGCTCTTTATCACTCCAGACTACTTGATATACAGCAAGTTCAAGCAGTGCTTGAACTTGGCTGGAGTGATAATCTTGGTGCCCATATCTGCTGGATTCTCTTCTGTGGGTACCTTCTTAAGTTCAATGATTCCACTTGCAACTTGATCCCTCACGAAGTGATAGTGGACATCCACGTGTTTAGTTCTTTCGTGATACACTGGATTTTTGCTTAGGTGGATCGCACTCTGACTATATGAATACACTGTCACCTTTCCACCAATTAGTTTTACTTCTGTCAGAATTCCTTTTAGCCATAAGGCTTCTTTAACTGCATCAGTTACTGCAATGTACTCTGATTCTGTTGAAGACAGTGCTACAATAGGCTGTAACTGTGATTTCCAACTTATACAATTTCCACCCAGTGTAAAGAAATATGGAGTAGTTGAATTTCTGGTATTCTTATCACCTACAAAATCAGCATCTACAAACCCAACCAGATCAAGTGCAGTGTTTCTTTTACAGTATTAAAGCCTAACACAAACAATACTGTTTATATATTTTAGCATCCATTTTAGAGTAGTCCAATGTTCCATACCAGGGTTGGACATATACCTGCTTAACATGGAAATGGCAAAGGCTAAGTCTGGCCTAATACTAATCATGGCATACATCAGTGACCTCACAACATTAGCATAAGGAACAGACTCCATTTTCAACAGTTCTGACTCAGTTTTGGGGCATTAGGACTTACTGAGAATAAACTGACTGGTTAAGGGCATTGAGACAAGTTTGGCACCAGCCATGCCAAACTTTGTGACTAGCTTCAGTAAGTAAGATTGTTGTTGTAGTCTAAGTTCACATCTCTTTCTATCCCTATTTATTTCCATGCCTAGAATTTTCTTTGCATTTCCTAGGTTTTTCATGCCAAATTCAGTGTTTAGTTTCTTCTTCAATTCACTAATCAGGGTTTTTGACTTACTGATCAACAGCATATCATTAACATATAATAGTAAGTAAATAGGCAGATTATTGTCCATTTTAAAATAGAAACAACTGTCATATTGACTTCTTTTGAATCCTATACCTATTATAAAAGTGTCAAACCTTTTGTACCATTGCCTATGGGACTGTTTTAACCCATATAGGGACTTTTTTGGGAGGCACGCATGTTCAGGGAACTTAGGGTCAGTAAACCCCATAGGTTGGCTCATATAGATTTTTTCTTCTAGTGTTCCATGAAGGAATGCAGTGGTGACATCCAATTGCTCTAGTTCCAAGTCTTGATAAGCAACTACAGACAGCATCAACCTAATTGTTTTGTATTTTACCACAGGGGAGAAGACTTCATTGAAGTCTATCCCCTCCCTTTGGGTGTAGCCCTTAGCCACAAGTCTGGCTTTATACCTAGGTGGGTCAGCTATGAAAATGCCCTCTTTAAGTTTNAACTTCTGATGTTAGTTTGTTTTTTTACAAACAAGGATCTCAAGTGGTGTATCTTTTAGTATATGTAGATGATATCTTGTTAATAGGAAATAGTCCTCAGATTATATCACAAGTAGTAAAAGATCTTAACAGGCAATTTGCTCTAAAAACCTTAGGAGAAGTTCAATACTTCCTTGGTTTTGAGGTGACTAGGAACTCCTCAAGTTTGTTATTGCCTCAAACCAAATATGCTCAAGACTTACTATAAAAAGCCAATATGGCAGATTGCAATCCTTGTACAACACCTATGGCTACTAGAGCTAAACTAAGGAAAGAAAATGATGATTTGTTTGATCAGCCAATTTTATATAGGAGTATCATTGGAGGTTTGGAGTATCTCACTCTGTCCAAACCAGATTTAAGTTTTGCTGTGAAACAGTTAAGTCAATTTCTTCAAGTTCCTACTGTAGCTCATTGGACTGCATGTAAAAGGGTTCTAAGATATGTTAACGGGACTCTTAAACATGGGATCTTGTTTACAAAAGAACATTTTTCTATTGAAGCCTATGCTGATTCAGATTGGGCAGGTGATGTGAATGATAGGAAGTCAACCAGTGGGTATTATGTTTGTCTTGGAAGAAATCTAGTTCAATGGAGTTCAAAGAAGCAGAAGGTGGTTTCTCTATCATCTATAGAAGTAGAATACAAATCCTTGAGTCAAGCTGCCACTGAACTTGTGTGGATTCAACATCTATTTGAAGAACTTGGGATTGAGATGAATAACACCCCTATGATTTGGTGTGATAACATGAGTGTTGGAGCCTTATCATCCAATCCTATATTCCATGCTAGAACTAAGCATATAGAAATTGATGTCCATTATGTTAGAGAATTGGTTACCAGGAAGACTTTAAGTGTTTCAATATGTGGCTTTTGAGTATCAAACAGTTGATATTCTCACCAAGGCACTTCCTGGAAATAGATTTGTCATGTTAAGGGACAAGTTAAATGTTGTTTCTGTTCTTCCTGAGTAATGGCATGCTGATATGGTAATCTGATCTGATCATAGATCATGTTGTTTGTAAGTATTGTGTGTAGGAAATTAAAGACAATTACATGTTGTTAGTGTGGCTATAGTAGGAGGAATGTTGGTATGGTACTGAACTGAGTATAATGAGAGTATGTTTGTGCTTTTGTGATAATTGCAAATGTGTTTGCCATTTTTAAGTGTTATGTATTGTGAATGTGTTGTGGAGTTGTGCAAATCTTGAAGTGTTGTGAAGTTGTTCAATTTTTTGAATTGTTATGCAAACTTTATGGCTAGTAGTAGGATTACTAAATACTGATTAATGTAATGTTGGTGTAAGTCTGAAAGAGGTGTTTGTCTCTTATTACACTTGGAGCAGCAGTGGTAATGATGTAGTATTGATATATTAAGGTGTTTGAGTATTGTGGAGTTGAGCATAATTTATTGCTTACAGCAGAAGTGGTAATAATGTGGGTCTAAAGAAGTGACATTCTGGTGATTATTTTAACACCAAATGCTGATCTATAGAGATGTTTAGCTTAAAGGGGAATATTGGTCAGAGCAGGAATTGCTGATCCGAAGAAATGTTTAGTTTAAGCGGGAATATTGGACTATGATTTAACCTGGATCTTGGGGTACATTTGCAAGATTAGAAAGTTATAGGACTGTTTGTGTTAACCTAGTTTGGGTTAAATTGTAAAGAATAAAAAGTTGTGTAAAGCACACCATTTTGTATTTTAAGAAACTATATAGTTGTAATTGTATTCTCTTCAAAATCAGTTAATAAAATACCCAAATTTTCTACATTTCTTCTTTCTCCTCTTCAAGCATTCTATTTTCTTGATTTTCTCGAAATTACTTTCATGCACCGAAGAGAAGTATGTAACATTCGAGGTGAATCTATGTAGGGTTGGGTTTGTACTAAACCCGACGGTTTGATGATGGATCAACAAATGTAACGAAAACAAAGTGATAACACAAGCCAAATAGCTTTTAAAGTGGTTTGGATGCTTGAATGCAAACCTTACCTCCATTGTTTTTGCTAAGTAGTGATTTGCTTACAATGTTATGCTAGTGAGTATTTTGTCACCTAGTTTTGTTGTCCCCCAAAACTGATTATAATAGGGTTTATATAGGGTCAATTACATGTTTGAATTGGAAATAAACAATGAGTCCTTAAAATAGGAAAACAACTTGATCTTTGACTTTGATTCGGGAGTCCATATCGTCAGATATCTCTTTACCAAAATGGGAAATTACCTTCCTTGATTGTTGCACAATGAATTGAAATAATTAAACTCAATAAATCAGGAAGGCGGCGTGATCTTTGCCTTGAATCTAGAAAGATATCTTTATGCCAAACTGGGATTTGTCCTCTTTGGATTTTTCGCACAACACTAAATAGCTTGACACATGGCATATCTGTGCTCCATGATTGATGCACAACAAAACCATAACATAAATACTTGAAGAATAGGGTTAGGAATTAGTGTTTCCTCAAAATCCTAATCCTAAGGAGTTGAAGATTTGGTGTAATATTTCCTATTTACATTCTAATTTGATTAAGATTGTATTTCCAATCAAGTTGTGATAGAATAGGAATAAAATGATAAGAAGGGAAGTATTTATACTTTTATGTGCAATAAGAAGGTAGTTATAGTAGGAAAGCTACTACTCAGAACCTATAGAAAAGAGTTTTCATATGAGTGAAGATTCTAGCTCTCGATGTAGAGAGAGTTTCCAACAAGCTTTGTGGGAGGAAGTTTCAAAGGAGGCTCATTGGTAGCAAAGTTTAAAAGGTAGGCTAGTTGAGAGGCAATTTTGAGATGTAACTCTGGGGAGTTTGGTGTGCTATCGTAGGCAACCAAGATTAAAAACCTTCCTAACCTAACTAACTGTAAATAGGGTAGCAAGGGTCGATCCCACGAAGAGTGTCTAGCCGAATTCAATGATGTGAATAAGGCTGGGGGTTTTGAGTAACCAGAAAACAATCTTAGCCAAAAACAAAACAAAAACAATTCAATTCGAAATCAATTAATATAACAAACTTGGTCCCGTCAACATCCACCATCGGATCTTACAACTGATTATTGATGCAAAAGTAATCAATTCTTACTTTGAATATTCACCGTTGGAACTATTTTCCTTCTCTCCTTAATTGTAAATTAGGAAACAAGCGATCTTAATTAATCTTACCATTAAACAACCCTAGACAAGCGCTATAGATTTAATCTAATGGCAGACTTAAGATTAGAGAGATCGATGAAGCTAAACAATACAACTCAAGCGGTTGTATTTAATTTAGTCGAGTGTTCCTCTAGATTACTAATTCCCGACGCAGCAAATTAATAACCCTAATTGCTTCACAAGTTGAGGATCAAACATACGGATTTGATATCTAACTTAGCAGTAGATTGCAACAAAAATAACCTAGTAGGCCTCCTAGAAATTAAATGAAACAATCATTAAAATAAGCATAGAACTCCAATACTCAAAGCATAAAATTGAACACTGAAATAAACGGGTTAGATCTCACACGTTATTGATTCCAAGGCCTCCGTTTCCTTCGACCAAGTTATAAAATTTTTAGCCCTCATGGCCATCACGAATATCAAAGAAAAAAGAAATCCACCCAAGAGAGAGAAAGAGAGGCGTGGTCCCCCTCAAAAACCCTAATCTGATCTCTTAACAAAAATCCAGTTCAGTATTTGATCCCACTCAATCTCCTAAAAAAAATATTCTAATATCCTAAAATAACATTAATCCTAATCTGATTCTAATAATTGAAAATAAGATAAAGTCCTAAAATAAAATAGGAAGTGGTGATCAGAGCTGTAACTGCGTGCCACATGTCTTCAAACCTTCCAATAAAAACTGCCCAATTATTTGCATGACAAGGCAATTGCTCAAGACGTCGGCAGTGCAGTGTCGTCAACTCAAGCCCGATTACACTTGATGAATCGAGTATCTCTCCAAACTCGAAACATGAAAGTTGTGAGTATATTTCTTAGGGTTCCCAGCATTTGAATCATCTAAATCGGAGCTCGGAGAGAGAGTTATACCCAGATTACGAAGCAGTGTCGAAACTGTCGAATTCACCTTTAGTTCCATTTTGCAATTAACACCTCCATTTGCTTCCTAATCAAAATAAAGTAATAATCAGTACAATTAGGCACAAATATGTATAAAGACTAAACATAAGGGGGTAAATAGACATTTTGCATTCCCATCAGAGTTACGATAGCAGCTTAGGGAGTTCATGAGACATACCAACTCCAGCTTCGAGGCAAGCTGAGGAAGACGGAAGCTCTAGAGGTGAGTTTGTTAGCACACAACCACAAGATTTAATCATGGGGATTAGGTTCTAGGATCTAGTCATGGGGATTATGACCTAGGAGAGATTAAAGAGTACTTCATCATATGACAGAGATGTGTGAAATCATGTTAACCATGTCAAATACTCTTAGGGTTAGATTTCTTTAATCTCACTCTATTGTATGTATTGTGAGGTGTGTGTATTATGTCTTGATGGTTGTACAATCTCCTTAATAGTGCAGAGCTGAGCTTGTGTGGAAAGTTCACGGGGACGAATGGTTAGTTAACACCCGACACCACGGTTAAATCTTTCTTGTTCTTTATTGTGCTGATTATTGCTTATTTATGTGGTTGAATCATGGTTAATCAAGACAGTATGTTAGTAGACATACGCTTCCTCTAACAGGGATATCAGAGTTTCACTTCCACACTCAACAAATGAATATGAAAAATAACACTAACCATATTAAAGCTTTTGGTAAAACCTTATAAGTAAGGCATGCATGTAGAAATGAAAAAAAAATCATATAATCTGCATCTTTTACCGACTATAGAAGAAACCAAAGAAACAATCATTCACAATACACTCAACCAAAATCATTTTATTTTTTCTAACATTTTCTCAACAATCAAATATACAGTAGAAAGTAGAAGTGAAAACTTTGGAGGCATTCAAACAACAATATATTTCTTATGTATATACACTTTTGAATCAAGTTTTACAAACTAATCCTTGAATCAAGTTTCCAAAACCATCATCATCCATTATTTAGTTTTTTTTTTTTTTTAAAAAAAAAAAACCAATACATGTGAACATGATCCTTTGCCAGCAGAACATAGTAGTACTCACAGCAACAGATACAGGTCACCAAGTCAATAAACCTATAGCTCGCAATACATACATCAGTAGTATTTATGCAAGTATAGCCGCAAAATGGTTAACGATTTGAATATCATAATGGAGTTTGTCTTTCTGGCGCCATGGGTTATTATCATCATCATCTCCTCTTCTTCTTAGCCTACCAGTGCTTAGGTCCTATAACTTGCATGGTGGCTAGTCCATTTGTTCATGACACCACCGTTTCTCTAAAAATAATTTAAAAATAGGTTAGCTATCATATACATAGTCATACTCTATAACATTGACTGTGCTTAGAGACCAAATATCTAATGATTCAAATGAAATGGTGCTGAACATGAATAAGCAAATGACACATATCACACAGGCCTTCTTCAACATAGTTACCAACATATGTAATAAAAAGGTAAAATCATAATCTATCGAACCTTCTTGTCTCATAAAGTTCAACAAACTTCAACAAAGACCATTGTTACGCCATCACATATATCTAGTGGTGTCAAATAGATCAAGTTAGTTGATATATGTTAGAACGCAACCTAATACTGATCTATACACCACACAAATCAATCACACCAAGAATCAAGAATAAAACAACACCACCAGCACAATTTACCGTGTTTCACTTATCCTTTTATGGATAAGCTACATCCACTTGAGCTCAAAACGGTATGAGCTTGCTGCACTTTCTATATCAAGAACAATCAAGATTACACAGATTCACACCACCAGATCT